GGGGCTTGAACTCTGGGCCTGGGCGCTGTCCCTCAGCTCTTCAGCTCAAGGCAAGCACTCTACCACTTGAGCTACAGCGCCACTTCTGATTTTCTGGTGGTTTATTGGAGATAGGAGTCTCAGGGTCTTTCTTGCCCGGGCTGGCTTTGAACCATGATCCTCAGATCTCAGCCTCCTGAGTAGCTAGGATGACAGGCGTGAGCCACCAGTGCCCAGCTGTTTTCTTTTTAAACTGTATTTCCTTCTGTATCTCCAGTATATTTTAATTTCACAAGTATGCACTGTCTCATGTGTCATCAGAGCCTTAGGCTAGAGATTCAACTCCGGGACTGGAAGGTGTCCCAACAGGTCAGGCCTGACTTTTTGCCCCAATGCACCAAATAGAGACAGCAATGCTGACAAAGGCATATTCATGGCCTGGGCAGTGGGAGAAGCTGAGGGAGGATAGTTACTTCAATGCTTTGGTGGAGGGGATTGTGGTGGTGGTTTAAGTTTAAATAGGCTGGGGGTGGGGCCTGCATAATTAAGCAGTTGCAGGCAAAGTGTGATTGGTCGGTAGTTTTCTCCAGTCTGTCACCCTTGGAGGAAGAGGTCTGGTTCCTGAGAGGCCACCAAGCCCTGCCCCAGGTGTGGGGGCTCACCATTCTCATCAGATCATTTTGGGGGTGGTCTGGGCTAGGAGAGTCTGAGCTCTACTACTTGAGCCCAGCCCCAGCAGATATACTCCTTTTTTGTTGCTTTTGTTTGTCTGGGACTTGAACTCCAGGCCTGGGCACTGTCCCGGAGCTCTTCAGCTCAAGGCTAGCGCTTTACCACTTTGAGCCATGGCACCACGTATGGTTTTTCTAGTGGTTCATTGGAGATAAGCGTCTCAGAGCTTTCCTGCCTGGGCTGGCTTCAAACAGCAATCCTCAGATCTTAGCTTCACAAGTAGCTGCGTTGACTGGAACAAGCCACTGGCACTTTTTTTTAACTTTTTTTCTTTTCTGATACTGAAGATTTAACTCAGGGCGTCAAGCTCTCTCACTTGACTGTTTTACTCAAAGCTGGCACTCTACCACATGAGCCATGCTCTAATCCAGCAGTTTTGCTGTTTAACTGGAAATAGAATCTCATGGACTTTTTCTTGCCCAGCTGACTTTGAGCCACGATTCTCAGTTCTTTTAGGGGAGAGGAGGTGTGTAGAACTGGGGCTTGAATTCAGGAGCTGGACGCTGTCTCTTCTTCTTCTTTTTTTTTGTTCAAGACTGATGCTCTACCACTTGAACCACAGCTCCACTTCTGGCTTTTTTTAGGGGGAGGGCAGTCCTGGGGCTTGAACTCAGAGCTTGGGCACTGTCCCTGAGCTGCTTTTGCTCAAGGCTAGCACTCTACCACGTAAGCCACAGCTCCATTTCCAGCATTTTCTGTTTATATGATAATAAGGAACTGAACCCAGGGCTTCATGCATACTAGGCAAGCATTCTACCACTAAGCCACATTCCCAGCTCCCCCTCTGCTCCCCTACTTTTTTGGCTGGTTCATTGGAGGTTGAGTCTGTTGAACTTTTCTGCCTGGCTGGCTTCGAACCTCCAATCTTAAGACTCCTGAGTAACTGGAATGACAGGCGTTAGCCACCAAACTCCCTGGGCAAGAACTGACCTTCTTCATCAGCCCATTGAGCTCCCCAAAGGCAGGAGTGGGGTCCCCATCATCTAGAATGTCAGGGCCTGCGTGGAGTGGACCAATGAAACCCGTCAGAGGGGCTGGGAAGGTGGCTCAGTGGTAGAACACTTGCCTTGCATGCATGAGGCCCTGGGTTCGATTCCTCAGCACCACATAAGCAAAAAGAAAAAAGCCGAAAGTGGCGCTGTGGCTCAAGTGGTAGAGGGCTACCCTTGAGCTGAAGAGCTGAGGGACAGCGCCCAGGCCCAGAGTTCAGGCCCCATGACCAACAAAAAAAGAAAAAGAAAACCATCAGAGGCGCTGTTCACCCTGAGATAGAATAGATTTATTAGCAAGAGGTAATCAGGAAACATATATTTTTACAAAAATGGAAATTTCATTTTTTTTTGTTTTTGTTTTTTCTCCAAACAAGCTGTCAGTTGAAGTACTGGAGGACTCGGTAGAGAATTCTCATACTGCTAAGGTATTGCTTACAACGGAGCCGTCTGTCTGTCTGTCTGTCGTGCTGGAGCCTGCCTGCCTCTTCGGAGGGCATCTGTGTTCTCGGTACTGTACAATGTAAAAAAGGATGATACTATTCACAGAATAAGCGACTAGGGGTCTCTATTCCTGCTGGAGGCGTGAAGACAGGACCACGGGAGATGTGAGCACACCGCGTGGCTCGCAGGGGTGTGGCTCACCCACGCTTGCTCGAGACGACCAGGCCATGCGAGGAGAACAGGGCCATCAGGGTGCACCCCACTTCCAGAGGACACCGGGCAGGGGTCCCCCGAAGTTGCCTGGACTGCGGATGGTTGCCACAGTGTCCCCTGCCCTCACCCGTGGGCACTGGGGTGGTTTTTTTTCCATGCTCATAGTGGCGTTGATCTCGAGTGGGGTGCCCCTGTGCTGGGGGGGGGCTGCCGGGGGTGACTTGGGGTGTGGTTCTCCTTCTGGCCAGGTTCCTGGGACAAAGATGGGGGTGGGGAGCTTGGGAGAGAAACCTGTGGATTGGGTTGAAAAAGCTGCTTCACGAAGTGGGGTTCACTGTCAGCGGGCGGGGAGACTCGTCAGTGACTGGACTCTGCGGGTATGGCCTTCCCCTCCCCCACCCCCACCCCCAGGAATGACAAGTACACGGAACATGCTGGAAGGCGGCCTGCCCCCCCTCATCCCTCCCTCCCTCCCTCCCTCCCAGGGAGGGCTAGGGAGAGGTGAGGTTGGCGGGCGCGAGGACTGTGTCTTCTCTTCTGGGTGGGGTGACGGGGCGGGGGCTGGGAGGGGATTGGGGGGGCAGCAGTTTGAAGAGCAGGCGCTGCAGGAGGGGGGCTGGGGAGGGGGCGGGGAAGGTTTTTCTTGGGTGGGGGTGGCGGGCAGAAGTTCCTATTCCAGCTCTGCAGGAATCTAAGGAGCAGGATAGAATGAAGTCTTGAAGAAGCAGAGACTTGGAGGCGAGCCCGAGACACCGGAGGACGAGTATGTACAGCGCAGAGCAGCGAGCAAGTGTTCTTGAGCGGCCTCGCGCAGCCTCAGGTCGGGAGCTTGGGTTCCAGGCGGAGAGAAGATTCGTACAGACTTTCTTCATCCAAGACCACTGACTGGTCCAGCAAATACTGGGTTACCTGAAGAAAGAAAACAACCAGCCTGGATCTGGGGGCTCATGCCCGTTACCCTGGCCATTTGGGAGGCTGAGAGTGGAGGATCGTGGTTGAAAGCCAGTTTGGACAGGAAAGTTGATGTGACTCTTTAAAATTAGTTCCTTTCTGTGCTGGTACTATGGCCTGAGTTCAAGCTGTCCCTTCTCAAGATTAGCCTTCTACCACTTGTGGTTAATTAGAGATAAGAATTTCTTGGACTTTCTTTCTTCTTCTTCTTTTTTGGCTACTCCTGGGCCTTGAACTCAGGGCGTGGGCATTGTCACTGAGCTTCTTTTGCTCTACCACTTGAGCCCCAGCACCACTTCTGGCTTTTTCTGTGTATGTGGTACTGAGGAATGGAACCCAGGGCTTTATACATGCTAGGCAAGCACTCTACCACTAAGCCACATTCCCAGCCCTCTTGGACTTTCTTATCCAGGCTGGCTTTGAATCTTGAACTTCAAAACTCAGCCTCCTGAGTAGCTAAAATTACAGGTGTGAACCACCAGGGCCTTCCTCTGTGTGTTTTATCTCCAATCAACCAGCCAAAAGCCAGAAGTAGAGCTGTGGCTTAAGTGGTAAAGCACCAGTCTGGAATATAAAAGCCAAGTGTGAGAATGACTCCCTAGTCTTGAACCCCAGGACAGGCACAAAACATAAACGCCAAAAATAAGGCCGGTGGCTCACGCCTGTAATCCTAGCTACATAGGAGGCTGAGATCTGAGGATCATCGTGGTTTAAAGCCTGCTGGGGCAGGAAAGTCCATGAGACTTATCTCCAATTAATAATGAGAAAACTGGAAGTGGTGCTGTGGCTCAAGTGGTAGAGTGCTTGCCTTGAGCTGAGGGACAGCGTCCAAGCCCAGAGTTCAAGCGTCATGACCTACAAAAAAACAAAACAGAACAACCAAAAACAAGATCCCAAAGATGTGGTAATAGTAAATTAGTTTTTGGGAAACGAATTTGGTGCTATTGGGGTTTGAACTCAAGGTCTTGTACACTGCTAATCAAGTTCGCCACCATTTAAGCTAAATCCTTTCTTAGGACTGCTTTTTTTTTTTTTTGTCAGTCGTGGGGCTTGAACTCTGGGCTTGGGCGCTGTCCCTCAGCTCTTCAGCTCAAGGCGAGTGCTCTACCACTTGAGCTACAGCGCCACTTCCGGTTTTCTGGTGGTTTATTGGAGATAGAGTCTCACAGTCTCTCCTGCCCGGGCTGGCTTTGAACCGCGATCCTCAGATCTCAGCCTCCTGAGTAGCTAGGATTACAGGCGTGAGCCACCGGCGCCCGGCTAGGACTGCTTATTTAACATTGTCTTTCTGTGTGTGCATTGGTGGGTATTGAACTCAGGGCCTCATGCATACCAGACAAGTGCTCTACCACTGAGCTACATCCTCAGTATTTTTTTTTGTTGTTGTTTTTAGTAGTGGGGCCTGAACTCTGGGCCTGGGCGCTGTCACTCAGCTCTTCAGCTCAAGGCTAGCGCTCTACCACTTGAGCCACAGCGCCACTTCCAGCTTTTTCTGCTTATGTGGTGCTGAGGAATCGAACCCAGGGCCTCATGCATGCAAGGCAAGCACTCTACCACTGAGCCACCTTCCCCGCCCTTCAGTATTTTCTAAGAAGCAGTATTAAATTACACAGGGTAAAAATTACCCTTAACTGCTATTTCTTTGATCATGTAATGAAGTGTTTGGGGCTATGTACTGAAAGAATTAGAAAGAGCAACTGTTGAATGTAAATGGTGGATGATTCACGATTCTTTCAATGTGTCCAAGTGTTTGAAAACACTGGGCCTTGGAGTGCGGAGCTTCTTGGCCCACAGAGAGGAAGTGCGAAGAGAGGGCGTCTAGGGGGCCTACAGTAGGGCCCTACACTGTAGTCAAAGTTAGGGAGGAAAGTCAGGCAGCCCCAGCCTGGACGACCAGGTCCTCCCTTCTTACCTCACTCTGGGCTTTCAAGCTCTGTGCTGAGTTCCAGTCCATTCACCAAAGATCAGAGCTCAAATCATGCATCAGAAAGGAAATGTGTCCTGCCCCCACATCCCTGAACAACCCCCCCCCACCCAATTTCTTTTTGGCGCCTGTGTCTCACACCTGGAGAAGATGAATCCAAAAGACTCTTTAATGAACCAGCAAAAAGCCAGAAGTGGAGGAGTGGCTCAAGTGGTAGAGCACCAGTTTTGAGTTGTGTGGGGGGTGAGGGAGAGAAAAAAACTAAGGGAGAATTCAGGGCCTGGAGTTCAAGCCCCAGTATGGCACACACAGGAGAGGTATTTCTTTCTTATTTGTGTGAATCTTCTGATAGGTGCTAGAGAAAAATCAAGCAAACCTATTCCTTTATTTATGCATTTATTTTGGTGCTGGTCCTGGGATTTGAGCTCAGGGCCTTTCCTTGTTTTTGGTATTTGCTCTAGGTTGGCATTCTACCTCTTGAGCCACAGCTCCACTTCCAACATAGCTCTGATTTGAAGGGTCAGGTTATTTCTGATCTACTCTTTGCAGGGAGCAAAGCTGGGAGCTGGGCTAGGCCACGAGGCTTCAGGAAGGGGACCTGGGCTGGTATGGAAGCTAAGGACTAAGGGCAGAAGTTCTCCTGACACCCTGGGGCCACTTACCTTGGCCTGGTGCTCTATTTTGTATGCAGTTTGCTGGAACTGGCGAATCTCCCGGATGATGTGGGATATCTGTAGAAGAGAGGAGCGAGACTCCAGCTTTCTCCGGGCTACCCATGGCGCCGAGGGACGGGGCACGGGCAGGAAGCCCGGCTTACCAAGCCTCCCCAGGCCAGTTTCGCCAAAGCACAACCCACCCAACACTGCCAACATGAAAGGCATCTGGGGGCTGCTGTGTGCTTGTCAGGACAGTACTGGACAAGACGAATAGAAATAACACTTTTTGGTGTCAGTACAAGGGCTCGAACTCAGGGCCGTGGGCGCTGTTCCGTTAGCATCTTAGCTCAAGGCTGGTGCTCTATCGCTCTAGCCACAGCTCCACTTGCAGATTTTTGCTGGTTCATTGGAGAGGAGAGTCTTAAAGGATTTTCCTGCCTGGGCTGCCTTTGCATCTCGACCCTCAGATCTCAGCCTCCTGAGCAGCTAGGATGACAGGCGTGAGTCCCGGCTGGGAGGGTTCTGACGGGCAGAGCCGGCCTCTGGCTGCAAGGGCCTGGGGAGGTGGCATCTGGGTCTGCATGCCACCTGCCCTGCCCGGCTCCGGACAAACTCACCATCCTCATCTTGGAGAAGTTGACCAGGCCGTCCTCGGTATAGTTGGGTGTCCCCTCCTCGATGAAGGCCAGGTCGGTGAGGTACATGCCCAGGTAAGGGACGCAGGGTGGGTCACAACTTGGAAACAAATGCATTCACAAAGGTTTTGCCCTTGGTCAAAGGAGCACTTTGGGAAGAGCAAGTGTCCCCACCCCTCGCCCCTGCATGCAGGTCTGGGTGGTCTCCAAGGCCAGGAGGGTCTTGTGTCCCAGGGACTTAGATACCAGTCCTAGAAGGGTGGGCCGGGCTGGGGTGCCCCATCTTCTGGGGGCCGTGGGGTCTTGCACAAGCTGGGGTGACCCCATCAACCTTGCCTGAATGGCCTCCTGTTGTCCCTGTCCGTTGCCTGTGCCCTGGGGCTCTGTCTCTCTGCAGTGACTAGAGCCTTGTCTTCGGTGACTGCCACCGGCCGGCCTGGGAGGCGCGTGGATTGGGGACCAGAGCAGGAGGCGTTGGTCCTTGTCATTTGCACATGCTGCGCCTCTCTGCTGGGTAGCTACCGGCTGGGCTCCTGTCCCTGCAAGCTTTACTGGCTCTCCAGGAGGGCTTGGAGATGAGGGTTCTTTTAGCTTCTCCAGGGTTCTCTGAAGCCTCTTGTCCTCTCAGCACCCATGGGGGGCCAGGCAGGTGACCCTCCGTCCTGACTCATCTCCCTTGCCCCACTTGGATGACCCAGCCAGGCTGGGGAAGGTGAGGCAGGGAGGGTGGTAGTTCCTCATGGGTTTGCTGTGTGACCTTAGGCCAGCCCTTTCCCTCTCTGGTTCTCAGGCTTCCATAGATAACATAGTATGGGATGCCAGCAAGGCCAATTTTAGGCCATCTACAAGCTGATTTTAAGTGCTAGGTGAAGAGCCATGCTGAATAGCATCCATGTATTTGGTAAGGAAGGGGAGATACCACTTCTTCTCCCCAAGCATCAAAAAGTCTTGCATGTGCTGGGCCCTGGTGGCTCATACCTGTAATCCTAGCTACTCAAGAGGCTGAGATCTAAGGATCTAGCTTCAAAACCAGCCCGGGCAGGAAAATCTGTGAGACAATTTTATTCATTTAACTACCTGAAAGCTGGAAGTGGAGCTGTGGTTCAAAAGGTAGAGTACCCGTCTTGAGCGAAAAAGTTAAGGGACAGCACTCAGGTTCTGAGTTCAAGCCTTAGGACTAGTGCATGCTTGTGCATGTGTGCACGTGTGTGCGTGTGCACATGCATGCATGAACAAACAAGCCCCCCTAACACAAACAAATGAGAAAACCATTGTAGTGATGCTCTGGTCAATTGACTTCATCCACTTCTCTTTTTAAAACAATAAATCAATAGGTCTCAATATTACCTTAGAGTGAGCATCAATATTGAAACAGAATTTAATAGCACTTTTTTTTTTTGGTCGGTCGTGGGGCTTGAACTCTGGGCTTGGGCACTGTCCCTGTGCTCTTCAGCTCAAGGCGAGTGCTCTACCACTTGAGCCACAGTGCCACTTCTGGTTTTCTAGTGGTTTATTGGAGATAAGAGACTTTCCTGCCCAGGCTGGCTTTGAACCGTGATCCTCAATCTCAGCCTCCTAAATTTACAGGATTACAGGTGTGAGCCACCAGCGCCTGGCTTACACTGGTTTGTTTATCCCATACTTTTTCTTTTCTTTTTTCTTTTGCCAGTCCTGGGGCTTGATCAGGGCCTGGGCACTGTCTCTGAGCTTCTTTTGCTCAAAGCTAGCTCTACTACCTGAGTCACAGTGACACTTCTGGCTTTTTCTGTGTATGTGGTACTGAGGAATTGAACCCAGGGCTTCATGCATGTTAGGCAAGCATTCTACCACTGAGCCACATTCCCAGCCCAATTGGAGGTAATAGTCGTTTTGAGTTGTCTGCTTGGATACCTTCAAACTGTGACCCCCCTGACCTCAGCCTCCTGAGTAGCTGGGGTTATAGGCATGATCCCCAGTGCCTGGCAAGCAGCTGGGCAGTGCGATGAAGATGTAAAATTGTTGTTAGGAAAACAGAGGACAGATGACTTTCTTCTAATTTTTTTCTTTCTTAGTTTTTTTTTTTCCGGTTGTGGGGCTTCAACTCTGGGCCTGGGCGCTGTCCCTCAGCTCTTCAGCTCAAGGCTAGCGCTCTACCAGTGGCTAGCACCACTTCTAGCCTTTTCTGCTTATGTGGTGCTGAGGAATTGAACCCAGGGCCTCATGCATGCAAGGCAAACATTCTACCACTGAGCCACCTTCCCAGCCCCTCTTTCTTAAGTTTTTAAGTAAAAAAAGGTTTTCTGGCAGCACCAGAGTTTACTCTCAGGGCCTTTTGTTTGCTAACACTCCTGGCACTTTATTTATTTGGTTGTGGGCCTTGAACTTGGGCCTGGGCACTGTTCCTGAGCTCCTTTTTGTTCAAGGCTAGCACTCTACCACTTGGGCCACAGCGCCAATTCTGGTTTTCTGGTGGTTCATTGGAGATAAGAGTCTTGTGGACTTTTCCTGCCTGACAATCCTCAGATCTCAGTCTCCTGAGTAGCTGGGATGACAGGCGTGAGCCACCAGTGCCTGGCTTACTCCTGGCACTTTCTGCTTGCTGTTTATTTTTCTTCAGGTAGAGTCTTGAGTTTTCACCCAGGTGGGCTTGGACTGCAATTCTCCTACCTATGTCTTCCCATGTAGCTTGTTCTACCACACGTTGCTTTTGATTGAGATGGAGTCATGATAACTTTGGGCCAGGCTGGCCTTGAACTGAGATCTTCCAGATCTCCCTCCTCAAATAGCTGGGATTACAAGAATGAGCTACAGTGCCCAGCTCTGGACCACGATCCTCCCAATCAAGTTACTGGGATTACAGGTGTAAACCGTGTCGCCCAGTTTTAATAAAAAGGCAGATGGTTAAGGGTGGCAGCGCTCAGAGCTGTCTTAGGGAGGGTCCTGCATGGCCTGAGGCTGAAGTTCTCCTACCTTGGAAGGCACAGATCAAATTAAAACAGAGCAGTATTGGGTTGGGAGTGTGGCTTAGTGGTGGAGTGCCTGCCTAGCATGCATGAAGCCCTGGGTTAGATTCCTCAGTACCACACACACAGAAAAAGGCAGAAGTGGCCCTGTGGCTTAATTGGAGAGTGCTAGCCTTGAGCAAATGCAGCTCAGAGACAGAGCCCAGGCCCTGAGTTCAAGCCTGAGGACTGGAACAACAACAACAACAAAAAGAACAGTATCAAAGAGCAGGAAGTGTGGGCAGTACTAAGGCTTGGGTCCAGGGCTTGTAGATTTCGGTGCTAGTGCTTGAACTCAGGACCTCACACTCTCCCCAGTCTGCCTTTTCTACTCAAGGCTGGTGCTCTACCACTTTAGCCACACCTCCAATTCCAGCTTTTTTCTCCCCTTGGTTAACTGGAGATAAGTCTCACCTACTTTCTCCCAGGCTGGCTTTGAACCATGCTCCTCAGATCTCAGCATCCAAAGTAGCTGAGATTACAGGCGTGAGCTATGGCGCCTGACTGTGGGGACAGGTTTTTTTAGGGACAGGTTCCAGAAGACGCCCAGGCCACAGAGAGAAGGCCCAAGGCTGTTCCTGCAGGGCTCAGCACGGGGCTCCGTGTCGGGGTGGGCTGTGGGCAGCATGTGACTGTCACCTAGCTTCTCCTGGCCCTGTCCCTGGTCAGGATGAAGCTGGGCACCGAGGGGCTCACTGCCCCTTTCTCTATGCGGCCACACCTGGCTGGTGTGAAGCGCTCAGCTCCCAGCCGCCCGGGCTGCTCCTGCCACAGGCTGCGGGGAGGGCGATGAAGGAGGCACTTACACAGCCCCGGGACAGTCGGGAGGGGACTCGGACAGAATGGACCACGGAGGCCGTGAGGTGCAGTGGTGGCTGTGCGGTGGAGGAGGGTGACCCAGCGCCCGGCAGGGCTGGGCAGGCAGTTGGTGTGTGCGGTGTGGAGGGGGTCCCCACAAGCGCAGTCCACGGGGGCTCCGGGGAGCCCGGGCGGAGGGGGCGGCCGGGAGGTACAGATGGGTAACAGACTCTGAGGACACAAACAAAATGGCGATGGTCAGGCGATGGCACGCGGACTGCGGGATGGAGGATGGGGGCGGGGGATGGAGGATGGGGGGGCAGGAAGGTGGGAGGGAGGGAGCGTGCGAGGCTGGCTGGGTCCGGGTGGGCAGGGCGTCACGGCCACGGTCAGGGGCTGCCCGGCCTCAGCGGGGTGTCCCGTGGCCGTGAGGTCTCTGGAGGAAGTGGGGAGGAGTCAGCACCCCAGGGGTCCCCCCGGGAGTCTTGAGGTCAAGGGAAGAGCCTGTCAGGCAAGGAGAGATCTGCTGATGGATTCCTTGTGGGGCCTGGCTTCTTGGCAGGGTGACCACCAAGTTCTCATGGCTGCTCTGCCTCCTGGGCCACCCAAGGCAGACACAACTTCCCTGGCCTGGGCATGTCTGGGCTCTAACCATGGCAGCCACAGGACATTGGCACAGCCACTACTTTTGTCTGGAGGAAGAAGATGTGAAGAGGGTGGCGGCCTCTGGGGCGGGACAATGTCTAGAGAATGTCTTGACAGTCACCTGTCGCAAGAGGCCGACAGCCTCCTGTGGGGAGGGGCTGGGGGCCACAGGACAGCCCTCCCTCTGAACAATTCACGAGCAAGCCAGGAGGGGGAGAGACCCACCCTACAGGCAGTGCAGGGGTAACTGTGCAGCGGCCAGGAAAGCCAGCATGGTGCTGCTGAACTCTCTCCCTTCCTCCCTTCCTTCCTAGGGCTCTAGAATTGGAGGCAGGGCCTTGGGCTAACTGGGTAAGGGGCTCTATGACCCGAGCCATATCCCAGGCCTTTTGCTTTTAGATTTTTTTTTCTCATATAGAGTCTTGAGTGTTCACTGCCTGGGTTGGCCTTTGGACTTCAGCCATCCTCTCTTGGCTTCCTGAGTAGCTGGGATCACAGGCATGAGCCACCATGCCTGAACCCATTCCAAATATAAAAAAGGAGGAGAAGGAGGAAGGAAGAAGGAAAAGAAGGAGAGGAGGAAGAAGGGGCGGAGGGAGAGGAAGAGGGAGAGGAAGAAGAAGGGGGGAGGGGGAGGAGGGGGAAGAGGAGGGAGAGGAGGAAGAGGAAAGGAAAAGATAAAGAAGAAGAGGGAGAGGAGGAAGGAGAAAAGGGGGAGGGGGAGAGGGAGGGGAAAGAAGGTGCATTTGAGAGTTGAATGAGTCAGCCCCACAGCTGTGCTGCTATGGGGGACTCTAGTACCCCTTCTGTGGTCCCTGTCCCCCAGGAAGGCCACCAAACACTTCAATTTCCCTGGTAGATGGTGGAGGGCAAGGTTCACCTGCCTTTGTTGTCTGGGAAGGGTAGAGGGTCTTGTAGGCAGACAATGAGACAGACAGGCAGACAGACAGACAGACCTCCCGTGGTGTCCAGGCATGGCAGGGTGGGGGGTGAGTATTAAGCATGGCATTGACAAAAATGACCAAACTTACTTTTTCAGGGCTTCTCTGAGATTCTTAAATCTGCCCTCCGAGGAGACAAGCTTTTGGAGCTTATCAATCAAAGCTTTTGTCTGGAAGGAAGAGAGGCATCGAGTGACACATGGCAGCCAGGCCAGGAGGGGCTCAGGGACCACTGGGCCACACAGTTCCTGACCACTGAGCATGCTTAGGGAGCAGGCCTGGCTCTGACGCACTGACACACACACACACACACACACACACACACACACTGTGGTGTGCTACAGCTTTCAAAACACAGACCAGTGGCTGAGGAGGGTGTGGGGACTCCAAGGAGACTGAATTCAGATCAAGGAACAACCGCTGACCTTCTCAGATGAGAAGACTTCCCTGCGCCAGGAAACCCCACCCAAAGTTAGGAATAAAGAACAAGAATGAAGCCAGGCACTGTGGCTCAGGTCTGTCATCCTAACTACTTAGGAGGCTGAGATCTGAGGAACCAGCCTGGGCAGCAAAGTCCATGAGATTCTTATCTCCAATGACCTACTCAGGAGAAGCTGGAAGTGGTCCAGTAGAGCACTAGCTTTGAGCACAGAGAGGTTCATGGACAGCGCCCAGGCCCTGAGTTCAAGCCCCAGGACTGACAAAAAAAAGAAAAAGTAAAAGAATGAAGCAGAGAACCATGGCTCATGCATGAAATTCTAGCTACTCAAGAGGCTGAGATCTGAGGATTGAGGTTCAAAGCTGGTCAGGGCAGGACAAATTTATAGATTCTTCAATTAACCAGCAAAGAGACCGAAGTGACTCAAATCCAGCCCAGACAGGAACACTTGTGAGTCTATATTTCCAATTAATCACCCAAAAGCCCCAAAATTGGAGCTGTGGCTCAATGGGTAGAGCACCAGCCTTGTACAGAAATGCCAGAAGCATCACCCAGGCCCTGAGTTCAACCCCTAAGATGGGCACAGAAAAGAAAAAACTGGAGCCTCAATGTGCCCAACAAGGCCTCCAGACCTATTCTGTATCCCTTAATTTTACAAGCTTATATTCAAGATGGCCAACAAGGACCAACAGACCAGAGGCCAGAGGCCTGGTGGAGTCATAGAAGGCCCCGGAGCTACAACCTCAGCTATCTGGCAGATCTAGCGGGAAGCCACCATGCTTTGTCCTAACTCAGGACATGTTGGGACCAATATTCATGGTTTCATATTTCTGTGTGCATGCGTGTGTCCTGTGGCTTGAACTCAGGGCCTGGGTGTTGCCCCTACGAGTTTTTGCTCAAGGCTGGCATTCTACCACTTGAGCCATAACTCCATTTCTGGCTTTCTTGGTGGTTCACTGGAGATAAGTCTCATGGACTTTCCTGCACAGGCTTGCTTTGAACCGTAAGACTACAGGCGTGAGCCATCAGACCCAGTTCCCATTTTCCACTTTCAACATTACTTTTTTAGTGTATATTGATATGGGGGCTTGAATTCGGGGTCTTGAGCTCTTTGCTTGGCTTTTTTGCTCAATTATGGTACTTTACCACCATCCACTTGCAGCTTTTTGCTAGTTAGCTGGAGATGAATCTCATGGACTTTCTTGCCCAGGCTGGCTTGGAACTATGATCCTCAGATCTTAGCCTTCTGAGTGGCTGGGAGATGCTTGTGTCTGACTTGCTTAATTATTATTAATTATTTAAGTAGGGATTAAAGTCCCTGCTCCATCTGAGGGCCTGATGTCTGGTCTCAGTGGGTATAGAACTGTGGACCCTCAGCTGGTCCTTGGACCTTCTGCTGGCGGCCAGAGGCCAGCCCTTGGGTCTCCCTGTCCCAACCCCCGCCTTGCTTCAGGAAGCAGCAACGTCAGCCTCCTGCCGCACCTGCTTGGAGACTTTGAGCCACGTCTTCTTGAGCCGGAAAACGGCACTGCGGTTCATGGAGGAGGTGATCTCCAGCACGGCGTTATAGTTGTGCAAGCAGCGACAGATGTCAGCCACAGCCACCCACTTCTCGATGGTGTTCACCCTGGCCGTGATGTCTTCGCTGCGGACGATTTCGGATGCGATCAAGTTACTGATCTTTAAGCCAATGCAACAGGACAGCAAAGAAAAGAAAAAAAAAAAAAAGGAAGAGGAATAAGTATCTTGAAAAATGATCATTCATTCATTCACTGCTAACACAACTGCCATGTTGAAAATCCTTAAAAAATGAGTATTCAAGTATTCAATATGTAAAAAAAGTTATAAATTAATAATAACTAAGGGGAAAAATGCAATGCAGAAGATTTGGCTAGGTGCCAGTGGCTCACGCCTGTAATCCTAGCTACTCAGGAGGCTGAGATCTGAAGGTGGGATTTCAAAGCCAGCCCAGGCAGGGAAGTCTGTGAGACTATTATCTCCAATTAACCACCAAAAGGCCAAAAGTGGAGCTGTGGCTCAAGTGGTAGAGCTCCAGCCTTGAGTAAAAGCCAAGAGCACAAGGCCCTGAGTTTAAGCCCCAGTACTGGCATATACGAAAAGTGAATAAGCAAATAAAGTGAATAAGCAAATAAAAATGAAAGAGATTATTATTTGAAAAATATAGGCTTTAAAAGGATATTTATTTATTTATTTATTTTTGGGGGGGTCCGGTCGTGGGGCCTGAACTCTGGGCCTGGGCACTGTCCCTCAGCTCTTCAGCTCAAGGCTAACACTCTACCACTTGAGCCACAGCGCCACTTC